TAAAACTATCCCAGATTTTCCTTATTCTGATGAAAAAAGGAAAAACTAAAATTTCTACAAGTTTGTTCCCATCTTCTCCTGCCACTCTGACATGTACCACTTACATTATCGACTTACTCTTAAAATCATCTAAGCTGGGTGTGGGGTGGCACACACCTTTAATCCCAGCACTCTGGAGAAGGTAGGGGGACCTCTGTGAGTTCAAGGCCAGCCTGGTCTACAAGAACTAGTTCCAGGACAGGCTGCAAAGCTACACAGAGAAACCCTGTCTCAAAAAAACCAAAAACAATAACAGAAACAGTACAGCTACCTTATGTACCTTAGTTACATCAACTCACGGTAGCATTGAGCCTGTCTCAACTAGTAGCAATAAACTAACCAATTTGGCCCATAACCAAATCTCAAAGTAATATTATGTGAAGGCTGGAGTTGTTGCTCAGTGGTAGAGAGCTCTCGCTGAGCTGGCATTCACCTGGTCCTAAATTAATTCACCAGTCTCCATCACCACTAGCATTAAATAAAATCCCAAGTGAAAATAATAGCAAAAGCCTTAACAATATTCCACTTTAAAGTCATTTAAATATGAATGTAAATAGAATATGAACGGGCTGATTCTCCCAAGGTGAAGAAATAATTCCTAATCAGATAACATTTTTGATATACCAACAGTAATCCAAGACTGTAGGTTAATTAGGTCTGTGGTTGACTTTCTTCCTGTAGTTGAGTATTTAATGTCACAAAATACACGGTAATCTTATAAACACAACAATCTGTTGTATAATCAGTTCAGGACCGAAAGATGAAGACTGATAGGATTAAGACCAAAATATGGAAGAGGAAGACTGATGCATATAAGTATCTCAATGGCCTAAAAGGAAGAGTTGAATGAATATTTGACCAGAACCTTGCAAGCGCTTGTTTTTAAACAAAAAACCCTATTTTCATTGGAGGGAAAACTATGGGTCTGGAGTCAGGATGGAAGGAGGGAGAAGCCAGTTTTTAAAATAAAAGTATCCCTGACATCCCAACCCCGTTCTACAGCGACTCCATGCCTTGAGTATTTGGGACGCCTGTTGCACTTAGTAATTGGTGTACAGAACTGCTCCTGGCCAAAGCGCTGAGGACCAAAACTCTATAGAACAGGGAGAGTAACCTGAGTGAACCGCCCTCAACTTCCTCACCACCCTGGGCTCTCCAGCTGACGCCACTGCTGCTCTCATGGGGCACCAAGCTGAGACACAATTGCCCGGAACTATGAGATATCAGAACACCCCAGTATCCCGGGACCACACCAGCACCTGTAGAAGCGCGGGGCTGGTGGCACATTCGGAGCAGGGTGGGGTGGGGAACGCAAGCAAATCCACCGGAGTTACACTCTTCTCTCAATCTCCCAGCCAAATAAGTGGGTCCCCAGGTCTTGAAAACGTTCGGAGGTTAAAGGCCCGCGAACCTCCAAACTACCCATGTGTCTCTTGGATCTGGGCGCGCTCAGTTGCCGGGATAGCGGTGAGCCGGAGCCAGGAGAGTCCACTGACCTGGATGCCTGAGCGCTGCTTCTCTCCCGGAGGCTCAGGTGTGCTGTCGCTCTCGTGTCCCTCTCACCTTCCAACATAAGAGCAGAGAATTCAGCGACAGGCCACTGGCCCAAGGATCAACTGCCAACCAACCAGCCGACCTGCCAGCACCGACCCGGTCCGGCGCCCACGTGACGGCTCGTCCGGGAGTGAGGCTCTCTGGCTGTTTGGAGCCTTCCCCTAGGACCGCCCCTCTGTCACCCCGCCTCCCTCTCCGGCTGTGGCCCGCTGGGACCCAAGAGCCACAGTTCCAGTTCCACTTGCTCGTCAGCCCCGCCCTCCCCAGGCAGCGCTCCGCGTGCGAGTCTCAAGCTCCACCCCTCCCATGAGACCACGCCTCTCCTGGGTTCAACCCACTGGTTGCACCTCGGACTCTCCCCTAGGCACTTCCCTCCTACCCCACCAACTTAGGTCTCAGCACTGATTCCAGGACGCCTGCACACGCGCGCGCACGCACACAGACACACAGACACACACACACACACACACACGCAACCTCTCATGACCTCTAGTGGCTGACAACCTACGAAAAGCTCTGATGTCCTGTCTCGTGAATAACACTTCCTGTGTCCAGCAAGGTCAGGTGCCAGAAAGCCAAAGAAAACTATGGTGGTGTCTGCCCATGGGGGCTGGAATTTTCAAATCCCAAAGACTGTGCCCTGGAGACTGAGTCCCAACACCTACCTCCGGTGTGCAGGCCTGTGATTGCCCTACTGGGGCCTCCAGGGGCCTGCTGCTCAGTTTAGCAGCTTAAAATCTCTAGGTCCTCAGAGGGCAAGGACACCAGGGACTCTGGCAGGAGTTGCTCCTAAGCTGAATCCATTTGCTTACATCCGAGTGTTGACAGATTCTACAGGACATGACTTTTTTTTCCCCAACACTGGTCGTCTAAAATTACTGGTGTGGCCAGAGGATTGCACATGTGAACAAAATATAAGCACTCTGGCAAACAGGTGTATGAGCAGTGCAGGGACCAAGCCAGCAGCAGAGCAAAGGCAAAGCCAGCGTCGAAAAGCTGGGGCCCCTGAGACATGTGTCACAGCAGGATAGATACCCTTTGGTTCTTTCACTTCCTTAAAATAGCTGAGAGGCCTTTGGAGACAGAGCCTGCCTGCGCAGTTCACATGAGTTCAAGTGCCTTAGTGGGCAGTTCCAAATCCCACGTGCAGCCTAAGGAGGCCCGGTTTGTTGCCCAAGCCCCCAGAAACTGCTCATATTTTCTCAAAAGTATGCAATTATTTTTGCAAAATGTTGCATGAAATTGGCTTTCTCAAACTTAGATGCAGTTGGGGAAGGAGCTTTAAAAAGACAGATGCTTTCCTCCCAGCTCTAGAGGGTCTGGTTTAATGGCATTGGCAAGTATAGGGTTCTTAAAGCTCCCCAGCTGATTCGCATGTGCTACAATGTACTAACCCGTGATGTGGCTCATGGAGACATCATCAATCCTCATTTCAATCCAGCCAGCCTAGAGCTGAAAAGCACATGTGTGAAAGATACCGAAACAGGTGTTCCAGCGCCTGCATGCTGTTAGGGAAAGTAGCAATGAATAGGTCCTTCCTGGAGAACATTTCTTCACCTAAAAGAAATATCCTCCCTGTGGGGATTCTATGTGCCAGGGTGAGCAGTTTGGGATAGGTATATCCTGCAGAGCTGTCAATTCCAAGCACTTCCCAGATAGAAGCCAGACAGCATGCTACATGCAAACTATTCTCTTGACCTCAAAGAAACCATATATACAGGACATAATGCTGCTGCGTAGCCTTCAAGGTGAGTAGGTCACTTTCTTTGTAAGGTAGGTAATGTGACTTTACCCATAGAGCAAGTATTGATCCTGGATTCATTCATGGAGTGATTACATCATGTTTATTGTTTCATATCCATATCTGCCTTATTGTGCATAAGATTTAGGCTCACAGGGCCATCTCATCAGAACTGTGGGTCATTCCTTTCTGCCAAAGATCTACTTAAATGACATGTGGAGGTGGCGATGGAGAGGGGGAGGGTCTCCCTTCACTGCCTGTGATCCCAGCCTGGACTTGGCAAAGGCAGACAAACAGCTGCAAGCACACAAAGCAAGCCTTCTCATGTGACCAACCTGGGAAGGCAGAGACCTTAGCACATGATACGGGCTGGCACTGCAGCCTCACTTGTGACCTAGACTCAGTCAAATGGGACACACATGTGGGAAACACTTTGCAGATGCCCCTCTCAACTACCCTCTGCAATGCCTGGCATGCCTGCTGTGCCAAAGCTGTTTGCCTGCTACCTGGTTTCCATCCAGACAAGTATATTTACCAAGGCCTCCGTGAGTTAGGGAACATTTTACAGTAAGCCCAACACAGATAATCCTGGAAAGCTTTGTGCTGAGGGAATATAGGCAAATATAACCAAATATTTGCTTAACCTCACTTTTATTGTCTTTAAAGAAAGAAGAAAGAAGCAGGCAACAGAAAGACAAGATGAGGCTAGAGTTTCCTCCTTACCCTTAGGCTGGTTTTCTGGAGAAAGCAGGCTTTGAAAGACCTATGAGAAGACCTTGTGCAGACATGACAACTGCCTAAGGGGCAAACTATTATTTTTAGGCTGAACTGATGGACATAATGGTTAAGGATAGGTGGGTAAAAGTATATAACTGATCCTTCCTTCCTTGGATGATGGAAAGACTGGTATTTGCAGTCTTTTCTAGCTCTTACATATTTTAGTTTGCTACTTTGAATAACTCACCTGTACTCTCATGTCTGGCTTAGCAACTATAAAGATTTGTACATACCCACAAAGGTTAAAAGAGAATTAAACGATGTTCAAAAGCTTTGTAGCTACAAAGTGACATCCTTCTACTAATGGTTTTACTTTGTTACTGTATCCACTTGGCTTGGCAGAAGGGCAAGGCTAGAGGAAATAAACATTAAATATTAATAAGAAATAGTGCTTCCTGGGTGTTATGACCTCAATGTGAAATAAGCTGAACAGGCTCCTGTGTTTGAACATTTGGTTCCTAGCTGGGCGCAGGCCCTGAAGTGAGGCCTGGGCCAGCCATGAGGTTTCTTAGTGCAGCCCCACTTCTGGTCTGCTCCTTGCTTCCTGATTTCAGATATAATACGAACAGCTGTCCCATGCCCCTCACTTTCCCGACTACCATGATGGACTGTATCCATTGATAAGGTTTCACTCTTCAGCCTTGATTGGCTTGGAACTTACACTGTAGACACCAGGTTGACCTCAGACTCACAGAGATCCACCTTCCTCTGCTTCCTGTGTGCTAGGACTGAAGGCAGGCACCCCTGTGCCTGGTTAAAAGCCAGTAAACAAATCTTTTCTCTCTTAATTTGCTTCTTGCCAGGTATTCTGCCATAGCAACGACAAAAGTAACTAATGAAGTTGGACAATGAAAAAATATTTATAAGCATATGAGAAAGAGGACAGAACCTGAGTGAAAACCAAAGAAGAAATCAGTGAGTATCAGGGTGGCAAGATCCTAATTGCTAAAAGAGGAAAAGAGTTAGAGAAAATGCTGAAAGGCAATTAGGAAAGACTGGGACGAAGTAGATCAGATGAAGGAGGCCTTAGCCCCACCAGATTTGGACGAGGATGGGGTATTCATCAAAACATCATAATGATGGCCTCATCTATGTTCTCAAAAGATTCCCAAGGCAGTGACATTTGGCAAAGGAATAATATGTATTTAAACTTTTAGATGCTATCCCTGTGTGTTTCTAGAGGGATGCTACATTGTAAAGGGGTTGTGACCTCAGTATCCTGGAAGAACCATGGCCCCAACCACACAGCTCTCCCTCCAAACTCCCATCCATTACTTCAGAGGCAGCCTTTTCTTTGTCTGGAGTTTGTAGATGATCTGATTGCCTTCATTCCAGGCATACAGCTGCTTATCTCTGGGGTTGTAATGGATCATGGAGTGACTTCTTGGCCTCCTTGGGAAGAACAAATTAGGCAGATGCTCCTCCCTAACAATGCCCAGTGGGTCATAGACACAAGTGACATGGTGAGGGCCCTGGCCCCCAGAACTGTAGACCACATAGAGGACTCCACATAGGAGGAATGAAGCTTCTGCATCCTGGTTTCTGCATGGTGTGTCCCATGAGTGCTCTACTCCCAAAGTGTCCGGCTCAATTTTTGTGAGAACCAAATGGCCTTGGATACCGGGTCCTGAGTGGATGGCCCAGAGACCATGTTCATCCACAGCAAGGTCAATGTAGGTGGATGGGGAGTGTTGATAGATGGGTGCTCGGCCTGCCCCTCCTGGGAGAAGCATTCGATCCTCCACAGTCTTCTTCTGCAGATTATATTTAATTATCTCATTAGAAGTTCCTTGATTGTGAAAAAATAGAAAGCCTTTGTAGACCACTTGTCCTGTTCCCTGCCAGGAAAGTGGTAAGATTAGCTTCCGGGGGCCAGACTTGGTACTGTCTTCCATGAATGCCCGCAAGTTTGCAAATTCCCAAACTGTGTTGTTTCTGGATCCAATTAATAAATACACCTTTGCAGAGTTACCACCAGCATCTTTCATCCAAGAGCCATCTGGGTCTATAATCTTCTTCACTATTTTCAGAGACTTTATACCCATCAACACGTTGTCACAGCCTAGCCAGACGGGAGAAAAGGAACAGGTTATGTGTGAACACGAACCGTCTACCTTCTAGAAGACTCACCACACCTGAAGAACCCTGATTCCCTTCGCATCTAATACTAGTAGAGAATATCCTCTCCTCTCTGCTATGATACCATGGTCTCTAGCAGAAGAGGTTCCCTCGGAGAATCCTAGAGCAAAAATGGAAAACAGGCATAAACTCCTTTGAAAAATTAAACACTGTTAACATGAACTCCCTCCATTTCCTGTCCTTTAATTGTAGAAGAATCTTCTTAGAAGAAGCTGTGTTGGGGCTGCAGAGATGGCTCAACAGTTAAGCGTACTGGCTGCTCTTCCAGAGGACCTGGGTTCAATTCCTAGCACCCACATAGCAGCTCACAATTGTCTATAAATCCAGTTCGAGGGGATCTGACACCTTCACACCAATGCACATAAAATAAAGTTAAATAAATCATAAATATATATTTTACAAAAGAAGAAACTGTGTAATTTCTCCTTTCCAGGAATAATATAATCATTGTACTTTGATCACATTCTATCCTAGCTTCTAGATTCTTTTTTAAAATTATTTATTTTATTTTATTGGTGTTTTAGCCTATATGTATATCTGTGTGAGGGTGCTGAATCCTGGAGTTACAGATATACAGATAGTTGTAAGCTGCTATGTGGGTGCTGGGAATTGAACCTGGGTCCTTTAGAAGAGCAGTCAGTGCTCTTAACCACTGAACCATCTCTCCAGTCCCAACTTCTAGATTCTTCAATCATCTTATAATATTTAATTTTTTTCATAACTAGCCCCTTAGTCTTAACTTATATGCATCTTGCATATTATTATTTTTAAATCTCATGGTTGAACACGGCGCGTATGCTCAGCACTCTGGAGGCAGATGTCGACAGCTCTCCGTGATTCTGAGACCAGTTTGGTCTAGATAGTAGTTCCAGACCAGCCAAGGCTACATAGTAAGATCCTGTCTTAATAATAAATAAATATCTCCAACTAGTTAATCTCTGGATATTTTCTTACATTTCCTAACATTTTATCCTTAGCTTCTCCCACAGAAGTCTATATTTTCCATATTTGCTTTCTCACCTCCCACTCTTACTGCAAAACATAATCTGTTCTTGGTAATGCTACCAAAGAGCTCCTAAATGAAAATTCCTGCCACTCTGTTATGTGGGCATGTGAATTCATCTTCTGTAGTATAACAGCATTGATCAGTTCCTCCTCCTTGAAGATGCTTTCTCTCCCATCTTTGTTTCTGTGTGTTTCTCTGGTTTCTCGTCTGACAGTGTGGCAAAGACCATGATCAGTGCTCCTCCAATTCCATTTCAGTTCACTGCACATGAAGCAACATTTCACAGTCTCTTTTGTAGCTAAGCTGCACACACTGATTTGTTTTGTCTGGTGGGATATAGACGGGGTGGGATAAGCTTTCTCCACCTTGCCTTTTAGTATGCCATCTTCCAGATGACCTTAGCCCCTTGGAATCATTACTGTGACCATGTTCAAGAGGTCAGCACTACTGGTCATTTCAGGAAAAGTAGGTCATCAGTTCTAATTTGGGATTTTTTTTGATAGATCACAGTAAATGCAGCCAAGAGCCCATGGTTAACCTCTTATTATTATTATTTTGCTAAATGGATATAGATTCAAACTGCCTTCTAAGCTGATATCTCTATACCCAACCATTAATGCAGCTCTCAGACGTCATCAGAGTAGATTCTTTGTGCAGAAGAAGACAGTGAATTTACAACAGGTCAATGTGCAGGTTGTAAGTGTCTGGAGAGTGCTCAGTGGTGAAGGGGACAACCATTTTATACTCCCTCCCCTCAGTGCTCAGGGACTACCACAGAAGAGGGTCCAGAAAGATTACAAGAGCCAGGGGTCAGGGAGGCCTGGAAGAAAACCTTATCATCAGTACTGGACAGGGCAGTTGCACTCACTCTCTCTGCATAAGATCAATCGGATCAATATCCCAGCTGTGGTGGTGGTGGGGGTGCTTAGGGTCAAGAGCTGCATTCCTAGCTGGAGAGCTATTGATAGTTGATGGTATCTAGGGGAGGGAATGCCGGTTTTCTTTATGGGTGTGGTTCCTAGTAGGTTCACTCTTGCTCCAGTGACGGCTCTATATCCATGAGCGCATGGGCAGTACAAAATGGAGTTGGTGGGTTATAATAACTTTAAAAGGACATAAGAAGGTGGTTAGGGAGTATGTCTTGAGTTGAGATGGGAAGAGTTGGGAATAATAGAAGTGAAAATGAACAAAATGCATTGTATGCATTCAGATATAAAAGTATCAAATTATCAAAGCATATTAATTTTTAATTAAAATTTTAAATAAATTAAAATTTTAAAATAAATTTTAATCTAATATATTCTAGTGGATGTTTCTGAAAAATTTAATAAAAATATTCAACTCTATATCTTAGCACCTACTCTTCCCCTGGAATCCATGAGTCATAATTTCTTGTGTAGTTACCTACAAATGTGTCTGATGTGTCTCCCTGATTTTACTCTTGCTTGCTATCTACATGCACTTTCCACAAAGCAGTAAGAGAGATCAGACATGTTAAACTTTTTCTCCTTCTCCATCACACTTAGAATAGATAGCATTCTAATCCCCTAGCCTGGCCTACAAGACTGGGCAATGTGGCCCTTCCTTTGTGGCTCACTGTGTTGTGATTACATAGTTTTCTTTATGTTCTATGACTGGGCCAAATTTATTTATTTTTGCCTCAGAAATCTTGCACTTAGAATTCGTCTACCTGAAACACTCATTTCCTTGAACTTTGCACAGTGGATTGGCTCCCATTCATTCTTTAATTAATCCCATGCATACCCCCAACTCACTATGTAGCACAGGATGGTCTAGGACTCACAAGTACTAGGATTGTGTGTCTACACCACCATATCTGGCCAAGTTTCACTTCCAATATTATTTCCTTAATGCGCTTCTTCTTTCCTTGAAATCACTCAGTACACTGTCAACTGTTTTATCTGTTTCTTTACTAACTTACTGTCTACCCCCTCACCGGACTCCAACAACAACAACAACAAAAACAAACAAAAAAAGAAGCAGGGCCTTAATTTTCACGTTTATTATTGTACCTGAAGGCCTAATTCAATGCTTTGAGGACTCACTACATGGCAGCTGAGTGAAGAAAATAAAAATCTCAGATGTTTTGCTGGGTCTAAACAGTCTAGCACTTCTGGGTTCTGACCGCAGACCCATCTTAAGTAAATAATCATTCACAAAGCACTTCAAAGCTTTTAAGATACTTTCAAATCCATTATTTTATTTTAAAAAAAAATGGATCCCAGTTTTTCTGAAGAGAACACATGAAATAGAGAACAGGCTTAGCTGGACAAAGTCAAATCCTGGGAAGTCAGCTCTTTAGGTAGAGGCACAATGGCCTCACCTGGCTCATACTATGATGGAGGCCAGATTTGGAGGAGAGCTACCAGGAGCTCTCTTAGCTACCAGCAGCCGCTATGTCCTACTAATAAGCTCCGACAGCATGATGGCTTGCTGTCATGTGTCAACATTGTCATGGGTGACCTGACTATAGGAAGCTCGACACAGGCAAGGCATCCAGGGACTTTAAACATCTCAGGAGCACATGGCACAAGGAGCCTCTGCTGTACTGAGCTATTGGGGGCAGAGGGAATGTGTGGAAGAACTGGAACAGCCACTCTGACTCCCAGGGTGCCATCTCTACTTGAACACAGCTGGACCTGGCTGAGGTGAAGCTCGTCCCTGATCCTGGGCTGACCACTGAGGAGAAGTAGGTGAGACTTTAAGCTCTTAAATAACCATAGAATGAATGTTCAGGGGAGAGCAAGGATGGTCTGTAGGTCCCTAAAGATTCACATAAGATATTTCATGTTAAAGAACAAGTCCAAGAATTGAGTAGATTATTAAATATGTTACAAATACATAGAATCCATTTGGTACTGTACTGGATAACTTTATAATAATTTATGTGATTCTTATAGTAAGTAGCCATGACATATATTTTAATCACTAGTTTCCAAGTGAAGAAAGTTAAGGATTGCATTAGCTTCTTGGAAAGATCATACAGTGATGAAGGGTTCTTCTGAACTCAGAGCTGGGAGCCAGGACACTCCCAGGCAGCCTCAGATGCAGAGTAGTGTGTGTGGTAGGAAGAGTTGGGAACTATGTGTACTGGTGTGCCCAGAGAAAAACCAGTAAAGGCAATGGGCTCTCAAGTGTGACAGGACATCTACTTCTAGTAGGTAGCCCTCACAGTGCCTGCCCCTCCTTCCAGGTAAGAACAGACTTGAAACTGAGCTATGTAAGGACTATGTCTTAGAAAGAAGAAAACATCTTTGTTGGTTCCCTGCTTGGTGACATCTGGGCCTGAGGCCATGTTGGTGTCTAAGGTCCATGATGCCCCTGGAGCCTTGCTGATCTGGGTGGCCTGAGCTACCACTGGAGTAGCACTATTACCATGGTGAAGAATGGGCCCAAGCTGCTGCCAAAGGCCATGTCTGAGTCCCTGGTTCTGCTGCAACAGGGATGGGGCATGAGGGGTATCTGTGTTGATGCCAGTTGCCCATGTTACCACAGAGGCACATGTGAACCATGTGTGTTGACATCCAAGGGTCATGCTGGGCTGGCCCCACCCCACATTGGAGAACTGCCCTGACACTCATGATAGCTGGTCCCACACGTCACCACGGTTGTGGGAGAGCAGGCTCTACCCTTCACCTGAGGGGAATGATCCCAGAGGCTGGACTGATTGACTCAGCTACCATCCAGGCACATATCCAGGGCTTTCAGTTGGCCCACCCCAACATCTACCCATCTATGTATGACCTGCTGGGGTGTATAAAGGGACTGGCCCTGTGGAGCCAAGTACCCGAGAGGAGTTTCGATGAGGGTCCAGTATTAATGGTGTACCAGAAGCCAGAGGCCTCAAACCAGACCAATGATTCAATTTGCAAGTGAAGCTGTTTGGAGAGAAGAGT